AAACGGGGCTAATGCCTGGAAAAGGGCTGAAGCCCAGGATGGGTTGAACCAAGACTAGGGCCAGGGGCATGTGAAAAAGAGATCCTTGCCAGGCTCAGGGGCTTGAGAGGCTTGGCAGGCTAGGTGGATTAGTTAGTTGATAGTTGGGGCCACCAACACAGTGGACAAAATTCAAATGATATCTGCAAGGCATGGGCATCACTACAAGGATGCAAGGAGGTCATGAACAGCCCTTAAGGGAACTGGTGCCCTGGGGCACTGACTTACTGCTTAAAGGGTAAGACTCAGTAGAGAGTACAGGAGGGGTCCTCTGGCCAAAACAAGTTAGGGCTCACTCTGGGACCCTAGGGCAGCTTTGATTCCATCAAGGTGTGGCAGACGAGAAGAAAAGGGCAGGTACCCTGAGAAGCTAAAGTGGGACATGAACTGTGAGGCCACCTGGGGGCCTCACGGCCACCCCAGGACCCAGTCCTGCTACAGGATGTGAAATATGGGTAACTTACCATCATCATCTCAAGATCCTGGAGAGGTATCATCCATGATGCCTCCAGAAAATCCTCCACATCAAATGGGAAGATCACTACACAAACACCAGCATCATTGCTGAAGCCAATGTTACCAACATTGAATTGGTTATCCTCAAGCACCAACTTCGCTGGACCAGATATTATGTACAGTTGCCTGATTCTCAACTCCCAAAACAAGTACTCTACTCCTGGCCTGAAGCAGACAAGATCATTACAGGAGGAGGTAGTGTCCTCCACCATGAGGTCTTCATTGATTCCATGCTGGAGGAAACCTCTAGGACTGTAGAAGAAGCACTGCCAGAGGTAGTGCTAGAAAAGGAAGGGGGCATGGACTCCCAGGAAGCTTGTAACCTCTGAGAGCAAGAAGAAGTTGCCAACCTCACCTGCAGTGGTTTGCCTGGAGAACAGATATGGAGCACTACTGACAGAGGAGGAAGAGTGCATTCTACTGGTAGAAGAGGCCTGGCCAGGGATCCCCAAGGTGGGGAAGACTGAGAACACTGCCGTGAACAGGAAGTGACAGGTGGTACTGGTTGATGACTCCATCCTGTCAGGGATAGAGGGATCCATGAGGGACCCCCAGAAGGTACCACCTACATTGTAGGCAGTCCCCACCTGGCTGACACTGGAAGGAACCTGTAAACTGCAGTGTGCATAGCACCAAACCAGGACCTGGGTAGAAGCTTCGACTGTGTATGGTCCTGCCTGGACAGACACCTCAAAGGTGCAAGCAGAGGAAGAGCTGGAAGTAGCAGTGGCTCTGGGATTGTGACATCCTCCATCCATATCCATGGGTCTTCTAATTGTCTGCCTCTCACTTCCTGCCTGTCTTTCCAAGCAGGCCTTCCCTAGCAAACTCCTCTGTGACTGGATTGTTTGCTGTTCCTTGATCCTGAAGGGTTCCCTTTTCCCTGCTAACCTCTTTCCTCTCAGCAATCATACAGTGAAGGAATGTGAGATTTTCCAAGCAAACTCTCTTGCAAATTCCCCCTGCACACCTTTTCCCTCAAAAATAGCCTTCCAAAATTGGAATGTGCATCTCAAGTTTCATAGTTTCTAGGGTCGGAAGGGACCTGAGCAGATCATCTAGTCCGACCCCAGTGGGGAAGCTGATTTTTCTGCCCAGAATAGCAGCAGCAACATTTCTATTTAGGCAGAGCCAAGGAATCAATTGACTTCTTGGATCGTTATAATCTACTTGATTCCTGCTAATTGTTCTTCACTTCAGAGATGTTGATGACCGTGTTGCCTTTTTAATGGTCTTGATGTTCCACTAATCAAGCTATCCCTTCTTCAGCAATTTTGCTAAAGAATGTGCAATTTAGCCACTCCTGGTCTATCTCCTCCTATTTCACAGCCCTATTGATTGATTTTAGCTCTTGTTAAAATCCTAGATCAGCACATCCAGTTGCTGGAGTCTGGTCTTCAGCAACAGCTATTGTTTCAGCTTTTCACTGAGCAGCCAAAAGCTGCTGACAGTTCAGCTGTAAAAGGGTTAAAAAAGGAGCTTTTGCCTGAGTAGGAAAGAGGGGGTGAATGAATTTGAAGATTAGGCTCTATTCCTGCTGAAAGCAGCCATAACTCTGAAAAAATTGTTTTTTCCCCTTTCATTCTGCTTTCCCAAAAACCAGGTCCCTGTCTATTTGAGGATGTGGCATGTGAGAAAATACAGTACTATTTTTGGTATGTTGTGGTCAAAGAGAAGCCAGCTCATTTCCCACCAGGACCCCACAGCATGCTTAAATTCCCACTGAATGTCATGGCCTGGACACGGTGATTACAAGGAGAAAAAGATTTAAAAAATCAAAGCCAAATACCAGTCAAATAGCAGAAATAAATACAAAAACAGCTTCATCATAGAAAAAGACCTAAGAGTGTCTTCCCATGTGAAAGTATGAACTCTTCTTAAGCATGTTTTCTTTATATCTAGACTGGAATAGTGGAGTCCAAATGGCAGGAGATGAAGAAACCTATTGCAAATTAAATAATAATTTGTTTTTATATACAGGCTAGAGGATGCCCGGAGGGAACAAAAGAGTCAAATCTATGAAGAAACCCAAAAACACAGCCCTAGGACAGCATAGGAGGGGGTGACCCTTCATTTATATTGTAATAAATGGAAAAGGAAGTAGGGGTTTGAAGAAGGAAAACTGGTAGGAATTAAACACTGAGGTAGTCAAGGGAGGAGAACACAGCTGTGTAAGTTAGAGACAGCAAGAGCAATAGAGCAAGAAAACTTTCAAGATATAGGTAGCACAAGGACTGAGCTGAAAGTAACCTCTGTAGTTGTAGGTAACAAGAGTGCACCCCCGCCCCCAAATAGTGATGTGTCTGTGAAAAACAACAGGATCTTCTAGAAATATCACTTTTTGACTCCTCTAATTATCTGCAAACTTTCCCCTACTCTGTCTCAGAAGATGGCACTGTGGTATGGAGAGCTGTTAAAAGTAAAAGAATTCAGCCCAGTTCTTGACAAGAACTGCTATCACCCTGTAATTTGCAATTAATTACCTCTGTTGTTTTTAACCAGAGCACTGCGCCTGATGTGTGATATTCGCACAAATACACGATCATTCAAATTTAAAGACTACTCGTACTTTGATGTGAAAGTAGATTATTTATTCCTTAAGCATGTTATCAGCCCCAGTCACAAAGAGGTTCAAACCACTGAGGGACTTTTAACACTGCCAAAGGAGCATGCAGGTTTTGTTTTGTGGAGGTTTTTCTTTTCTTTTAGTATATAAGGAAAGCAATCTTTATTCTAGGATGGCCCTTTGGCAGCTAAAAAGTAAAAGCAGCTCAATTCTCCAGTTAATATAAAATATAGAACATGTACAATTAAACCCAAATTCTAGGCATTGCATGAATATATGTTTTGCCATATAGCACAAATACTAAATCTGATACCTGACTGCTGTACACTTTGTGTAGTTAATTACATTTCTTGGCTTCCCCCATTCTTGTCTCTTTTTCTAGATGACTTCACCCTTTCTTTTTATTTCTCTTTCATTCTTTCCTCCTGTGCTGCTTCTAGGACTGGGTAAACACTGCTTCTCTGTGCCTGTACTTCCTCTGATATCCAGTGTGGTCCCCTTTTCCCAGGTAGGCAAGTTGGGCACCAAGTTGGGCAGCTCCCAAAGAATCTTCACCCCAGCAGGAGCAGCAGCAGCAACCTCACGGCAGTAGCAGTTGACCAGTTGCTGCCCCCTGCCCTGGTGGTAACAACCAGGTGTGGGACTATAGCAGCAAGAGCCAGGGGAGGAAAGGCAGCAACACAACAGCAGCTAGTGTTTTTGAGTCCCCCAGGGCAGATAAGATTAGACACCTTCCCCTGCCCTCCAGTACTCACCATCTCCCTCGCCACTACCACCACAAAGGTCTCCAGGGAGGTTGCACAGGGTGCAAAACTTTTGTTAGCTAGACCTCTGCTGTTTCCGTTTAGAAGGAGTAACTGAATATGCATCCTAGGCACCTACTGAGAGTGCCTTAAACAACCTCATTTTCAGTATTCTCTGCTGGAGCATTCTGCTTGTTTCTTGGTGTGAATTTAATGATTCATATTCAATTAAAGTAGCTCATCTTCTCATTTATTAACTAGTGGCTAGCTCCATTGTGGGATTCAACACTGAGCCTTGCTGAGCTTTCTAGATCCCTAGCCCTGAAGTGTAATCCAGAACTGTGTTCAGCACCTAGAATGCACGGGGTGGGGAGGGGAGGGGGTTAGGATTCTTAAAATGGCATGCATAGAAACCCCAGCCCACTGTGTGACTAGCTGCCTAGAACCAGCCAATCAGGAAACACTGAAGACAGAAAAATATCTTAAATCCTACCCCTCTCCAGTGCTGCAGTGTTCTCCTCTAGTACTCTAACCACTGAGCTGTTGTGTATAAAGCATGGCGGTGGGAGTGTGTTGCACCTTTCCTCCTCCCTGAGTTTTAGAGTAAAACAGTTGTTGCTACTGCATTTTGTGCAGTTCTCACTCCATTAAGACATGATCTGAGAACACCTACTAAACCAAAATCTTTTGTGTTTACTGATACAGGTGGAGGAATGGCCAGTTTCTATATCCCAGTCAGGTGGCAGTTCCTCGGTAGTATCAAACTGATGATATTTCTGGACGTTCACAGAAGTAGAACTTCAGGGGCAAGACAAGAAGGAACATGCATTTCCCCAGGGACAAGTAGTGGTGGCACACCTTGGCACACAGCAAGTTACGCCAGGTGGGCTAAGTGATGCTGTGGCCAGCAACTTTGCTGGCCCCAGCAGTCTTACCTGGGGTCCTGGGGGTCTCTGGGAGCTGCAGCCATGGAATCCTGGCCGGCAGGAAACCTGGTCAGCAGCTGAAGAATGACTCTAGCTGGCCAGGCTCCAGTTTTACGTGGCACATGTTGTTGCCACATGTGCTGCCCTGCTTTTTTTTTTTTTTTTTTTTGATGTGGGGTTTTTTGACGCTGGAATTTCCTTTGGTCAAAAAAAATCCCCTGCATTGCAAAGTAGCAGCTGGAGAACACCTCCATGTGCAGTGTGTGGTGCCACAGACAGGCCTGCAGTACCATATACCATACATCCATGCTCATCTGGACATGCCCCAAGTTTCATAGTTTCATAGTTTCTAGGGTCGGAAGGGACCTGAGCAGATCATCTAGTCCAACCTCCTGCCATGGCAGGAAGAGCACTGGGGTCAAATGACCCCAGTAAGGTGGTCATCCAACCTCCTCTTAAAAACCCCCAGGGTGGGAGCCTGCACCACCTCACTTGGAAGCTGGTTCCAGACTCTAGCCGCCCTGACCGTGAAGTAGCGCCTCCTGATGTCCAACTTAAACCTTCCCTCCGCCAGCTTGTGACC